TGATTCCCCACATGGGTACAATGTGTGAAGCCCATTTCTGATGTGTCCTGCCTTGATATTGCTGGAATATTGCTAAAAGCATCACAAAGCTAAACTCACTCACTCACTATGGAAACAGCTTACAATATTGTTAATGCAGATACGGTTTGTATGGTTGAGACTCGCAGAAATTCTGTCAGATCGGTCATCTGTCAACCAACACTGGTGATGTCATATTTGAAGAAATCTGTGTCTTACCTTTGCCCGTTGTAGTTTAATAGTTCCTTATTTTTGGCAGGATTCTGGGCCAGTTGAGGTTGGCGTTCAGTACCTAATGTGTTATGAGTGAGTGAGGTGGGTTCACTTCCACTTCGAGCAGTATGCCGTTTATGTCAATCCATGTCAGCTCGCTGTGAGGGAGAAGACAGAACTGATGCAGGTCTTACACATTAACAAGCATGAAACCACCAAGCAGGAGTGTGGCACTGACAAACCCAGAATCACAATCATGGCAGACTGGGATTCAAACCACTTTGTGGCCTGCTCAAGGGACACAACTCTACACAACAAATTCCCACCTTAGATGACCGGGCCACCTGTGGTGACCTTGGATCATTGTTGATTCCTTTAGTCATTGGCCTGTGTGTTCTGTAGATGTTGTTGAACTTTTCAATTTGCAACATTTCTGCTGTAAAATGGCAGCAAATGACTTGGTATTTGATTATGTATCTGGGGTTCCGTCGAGGAGGTATTTGGTAAGTGTTTGCTTGTCATGTCAAAGACCTGGGTTCAATTCCCTACATGGGTACAATGTATGAAGCTTATTTCTGGTGTCATTCCTCAGTGATATTGCTGGAATATTGCTAAACTCTGTGTATAACCATACTCACTCACTCATTCACTCACTCACTCACTTTGGCAGCCCACAAGATTTTTGTCCAGATAAATACAGTTTGGTCACAGTATGAGCACACTGGATGCCAAACTTGGTCTTAGTGGTTTGTCTGGTCCAGATTCAAACTGATTAGATGTACTGACTAGCAGGGTAATATTGCTGACTATAATATGTCCACGTGATTCCATTCACTTCCCACAAGCAGACGGCAATGTTGGGAGCAGCAGACGTCATCAATATTTCAAGTGTGTGTAAATATAGCCTCATTCCCCTATGAATAGCAGGGTGATTACCAGGGACTTAATCACACATCTACTCTGGAGATTTCAACATGAGTGATTAAATATGTAAACCCTCACTTCCCTCTGAGTGAAGAATTCATCATGTCCGCATTGTTTGTTTGTCCCTGAATCTCTGTCTCAGATTGGTTTCCAGGGAGTCATGTACCGATTTGTACACTCGAGCCTCTGTTCTCGACATCATCAAATAACAGTTGTAAAAAAACATATATCAAACAACTGCTATAAAATGATTTAGGGAATATGTACTACTCAGCAGTGGTTAAGGTCTACCTGATTCTTAAGTTTTGAGTGGTATGTTTTTGGTGACATGACAGATTAACTACTGTCATATAACTTCTTTGAGTGGCATTTTAGAAGTTGGGAAGTACAATATAATAATAATAATGGATATTTTTAGCGCGCGCGCCATTTTCCACCCACTGATACATGCTCAAGGCGCTACATAAAAGCATACATACAATGCATACAGAGGATAAAATAGCAAAATAAGTATACATTGAAATTGATGACAGAAAGATTGATTTTAGGGATAGGCTTTGGAAAAAAAGAAAGTCTTCAACTTAATTTTGAAAGTTTCCAATGTGCATGACTGCTTTATGTGGAGAGGGAGAGAATTCCACAGAGTAGGCCCAGCGTACTGGAAGACCTCTTGCCAAAAGAAGAAAGGAGAACTTTGGGAACGGAGAGAAGACATTGGTCTTGAGATCTGAGAGTTCTGGTAGGGGAGTACACAGTGAGAAGTTCAGAGAGATATGAAAGAGCTTGATTATGCAAACATTTATACACAATGCAAAGAAGTTTGAAGTCAATCCGGAACTTGATATAGAACAAACTTTATGGATAACTGTATCGAAACGTCGCATAATGCTTGACAACGGTACAAGAATCTGTATCAAAACGTCGCATAATGCTTGACAATGGTACAAGAATCTGTATCGAAACGTCGCACTCACGAATAAAAAGAAGTTGTTATCCATAAAGTTTGTTCTATATTGTACTGTCATATATAATGATAGAATTGGGTGACCCTTAACTCTTTGAGTAGTATAGATTTGAGCCATGGTTACAAGGTTGGTATCAGTTTGGGAAAGGTTTTGTTGACCTGGTTTGAAGACTGTCATCAACAGGTTTCAGTTTACAGTGTCATGGCCCCACTTTATGTCTATAAAATACTTTGATGCCAATATTCAAAGTATTTCAAGAGTGTCAAAGTTAGGGTTTTATATCATTATGAAAGTATTTTATGTGATAATGGAAGTATTGTATATTACTATTTGCTACATGGACATTCGTGTTGTAAATACTGCTGACTTGCTAGTTTGGGGTAATTGTACCCAATCGTGTGGATCACTGGCTACAGTCAACCAGTACCAGTTAATTATTGATGTGAGCATGTAGACCATCACTGGCTGGAGCATCTGTTATGTTTGTAATTACACTTTCTCAGTAAAGTACAGTTCTAGCACTTTCTTGGGGTTGAGTCCCATCCAGGACATTGTGTATTCACAGCTTCGGCCATGGCAGCCGTGATGGTTTATGCTGGTCAGAGGGATGCACTAAGTACTTAGTCTAGACTACCAGATGTCAGACTTCAAATTTTCAATATTCACCATGGGGTGGTGGCGTAGCCTAATGGTTAAAGTGTCCACTCATCACGCTGAAGACCCGGGTTCGATTCCCCACAGTGTGTGAAGCCCATTTCTGGTGTTCCCACCATGATAATGCTGGAATGTTGCTAAAAGCAGCGTAAAACCATACTCACTCACTGAATATTCACTTCAATGGCTGAGTGGGTTAGATCGCTGCCTTTGAGTGCTGACGATAAGGTGCCTTACTCTGAAAGTCAACACTGTCAATGTAATGAGAACCAAACAGTTACAATGTGTGACTTGGGTAATTTTGTGTGGTGCTTATTTCATATCAGTTGTGCTCATGCTATCAGCCCCTGTTTACCCAACCAACCTTTGATTAATTATGAGTCGTTTTGACATTAATGAAAAAACAGTATGACTGGTATAAGACAACTCCTTCTTTGTATCTTCATGCCAAGGATGTCTGCACTCACATAACATCACCAGTACTCAGTCACTTCATCATGTCGCAGTTGTCAGGAATACTGTACATTTTATACAAGGTGCTGTATAGATTTTCTATTTTGACACAAAATAACTGTCGTGAAGTGACAAGTGCTTGTCAATATTACTGGTCATCCTTGTCTGATTGGCTGCTTCTGCATGCAATGTAAAATGTCAACTGCCAATCAAATTGGCTTGATTACTTACAAGTAAAAGGCTTGTGTTTTGTTGTATATGAAGCGAACTGCTTTGTTTCTTTGAAGCTGTACTATTGGTGAGATATGACACGTTTCCGTCAGCCGAGTTCTGTCACAAATGTGATCTGCTGTGGAAGTTGTTTTTTTTTGGTGATTTCTGCTGAATTTTGTCTGAATTTAAATTCATATTGCGAGCATGCTCATTAGCACTTTCTGAACATCCATTTGTTATTTTCTTTATTCCCCTGAAATCTTAGTTCATCATGAGTTCCCCGTTATAGTTTGGGGTTTCAATGTGTTGCAGAGTTGCTTCCCTTGAGGAACTTATCATAGGTTTGAGTCCCAGTTATGTTTCTAGATTTTTCCGCACTGTTCTGAAACAGATTTCTTCTCCACCAACAGTGACATTAAAGACGTGGGGCTGGTGGGTTAGCCAAGTGGTTAAAGCATTTGCCCCTCATGCTGAAGACCCGGGTTCGATTCCCCACATGAACCAAATGCGTGAAGCCCATTTCTGAAGTCCCCAGCCGTGATATTGCTGGAATATTGCTAAGAGCAACGTGAAACTGGACTCACTCACTTGCTATTAAAGAGGAAGGAAAATGCTCTCAAAGAACTTAATACTCTTAACGATGTTTAAACTTGGTTAATTACACTGAGTTCTTGGTTAATTACAGGTACGGTGGTACAGCAGGAACCATGCCTGACAGTGTTGTCTACACCTTCCGAATGAAGAGGGTCATATTTCCAGAACAGCATTTTGTGGACCTTCTGATTCAAGACAGTCATGTATTCAGGACAGTGTTGCAATGGAATATTGTATCCTTGAACAAGCACACCTTGAATTGTATCCTTGAACAAGCACACCTGAATTGTATCCTTGTATCAAGCACACCTTGAACTGTATCCTTCAACAACTTGGCATTTAATGCCATCAGGAAACATGGTGTATCCTTTTTCAAAGAATGTTAATTAATATTTTATTGTTTAATTTTAGCTATAATAGATATGTACATTACCATTTCATATTTGACTTCAAAATACATCTGACATGAATTAAAAAATGGAATTTATTGCAATTTTATGAAACAATTATGAGAACAATATCTGAAAACGGCAACAAAATCATTAATCTGTAATATGATTTTAGTGTTAGAATAAAAAAGTTTTCTGAACTAATTATGCATCTCTTTGTTGTTGGTCCTGCCCCCGAAAAATGATCTCAGTTCTACAACTATCGTAAACCTAAGTTAAGCATGGGAGTTACAATCAGGTCTTCGTTAAGAGGCTGTGTGTAAATGGGTCCCGGGTCCCGTTCCTCAAAGCAATCGTAGCGCTAAGATGATCGTAACTCCCATACTTAAACATAGACTTACAACTGTCGTAGCGCTACGATCGCTTTGAGGAACGGAGCCCTGAATGACAACAGTAATGAATTGTAGTCGCTATTATGGGAAGGTACTCGATGTCTTTAGTCAGATGTATATGGTCAAGTATGGAAGGTGTGTGTAGACAAGTACAGTGTTGTTAAGGCTGGTGGTTTGTGTTGCAGGCTGATCCCGATAGATCACATAGAGTTGGTCCTGCTGCACATCACGGCTGTCGGGGATGAGGCCAAACTGTCCGAGCGGCCAAAACGAGAGGTAAATATGCTGTCATATCACAGTGTCAGTTGATGAGTGTTACGGTAGTTGGGGAAGAGAGTTGATTGTTGTTACTGTGGCAGTGGAAACAATAGCATCCATCATAGAGTGTGTTTGTATGTATGCCACATTCCACACCTAATGGAAAGTTATTGCATCTAAATTTTGTAAATAATCATTGTTGGTATTCTGGACATTAATGTTTTGGCTCATGCAGCTCAACATAACTAACCTCCAGACCATGACGGGAGATGACAGTACCAAGATGTCTGTAGTTAGATCCAGATTCTGTTTGGTGCTCATTCATTGAAGAAGCATCTTTCATATTGTGGAAAGGGGAGACCCTTTCTGAAAACAAAGATTTTAGTTTCATCCCAGTAACATCACAAAAATTGCTCTAGAATGTTAATGTTCTTTTGCATGTGACACATCATCAGCTCTGCCTGCCATGTATACAGCTCACAAGAAGTAAGGGTCACCTGGTTCTTTCATACTCTACAGTTAATCTGTGGAACTTGGTAAACATTAGGAATGTCTGTGAATATGCCCCTGCCTCCATTTCTGATACTTGCTGGTTGATGAAGTGAATAAAAACCCTAACCCTAACCCTAACCCTAAAACCTAACCCTACACCAGGCACCTATCTACCATGTTGGATTAGGTCCCTGTCCCAGTGAGGATACCTATCCCTAAAACCTACCTGCCATATTGAATTAGGTCCCTAACCCTAAACCTAACCCTACACTGGACCCCTACCTACCATATTGAATTAGGTCCCTAACCCTAAGCCCTAACCCTAACCCTACACCAAACAGGTGCTTGACATCTGATTGGCTGACCACTGTGTGTGTCCTCATGCTGGCCCACCTGGACCACTGGGGGTGACTCAGGGTTGACTTCAATGACCTGCCTGTCAAAACAGGTGCTTGAAATCTGATTGGCTGACCACTGTGTGTGTCATCATGCTGGCCCGCCTGGACCACTGGGGGTGACTCAGGGTTGACTTCCATGACCTGCCTGTCAAAACAGGTGCTTGAAATCTGATTGGCTGACCACTGTGTGTGTCATCATGCCCGGCCCAACTGGACCACCGGGGTTGACTCAGTTTTGACTTCCATGACCTGCCTGTCAAAACAGGTGCTTGAAATCTGATTGGCTGACCACTGTGTGTGTCATCATGCCCGGCCCACCTGGACCACTGCTCATGCTGTAGAACACTTGTGGCTTGCCCAGACTTGATCATTTCAACAAGTCGTATATTCCGTGCAATATTGGCTGGCTGTCAAGTGACAGAATGAAACATGGTATTCTTTGATTATGAGATTGATCGCTGTGGCTGCAAACTAACTGTGCAGACATACTGTCTGTCTTACAGAACCAGCAGCAGTGTCTTATGACTTTAGATTTCTGAAGATCATTTTTTTAGAAATTTGGACACGGCGGAAGAAAATTGGCAGTTGCTGTAAATTTGATTCCATTTCTTCAAACTGCATTACATGTGTTAGAAAGGTTTATATTTTATTATGTCTATCTACAGTAAATCCTGCAATATTGCAGCATTAGTACATGCAAGTGTCTACCTTGGAACTGAAATATGTCATAAATTGTCTAGGTTATACAAGCAGCTTTCAGTCACAAGTCAGCAAGCTGTAGAATTGAACAACATTGGGTGATAGCTTTGCTCCAAACAGTATAGTTTACTTTACTCAATCAATGTGTATTTACAAGCTGTCCACTCTGGGTGTGAAAATGGCTGAGAAGCATGTCATTGTTTCCAACACATGCAGTGAACTGGACATGTTTATGAACTCCTAACTGTCCAGATAGAAATGTATCATGCCATTTATATCATATTCACATTGTGTGATTTATAGGATATAACAGTTAACACTTTCACACACATGACACCAGTTGTGACATGAAGGCTGGGATGGAAACCATTACGTTTGACGAAATGTAGCAGAGAAAATTGTATTTTACATTCTTTTGTCCATTGTTAGGTGCAAAATGTTTTTATGCTTCATAATTTTTAAAAATTAGTGTCCATGGACATTATAGAAGGTGAGAGTTGGCTGTGAATTCTGCTGTAATTAATTTGTTATGTTTGTAAGAATTGTAAATCAGCAGATTGTCCAAGTTGACTGTGTAGATGGGTTTTTTGTGTGAGGTTTTACGCCACCATCAGCAATATTCCAGCAATCACAATGGCGGACACCAGAAATGGGCTTCACACATTGTGCCCTAGACTAACGCTTAGTCTCTGAATATATATAATTTTGATAGTAACAAACAAGCCAATTTAAATTGAAAACGAGCCCCAGGGAGACTAGAGATTCAGAACCTGAACCTGAGGAAATCTAGACTTGCTTCATTTAGGGCTTTAGCACTGCAGTGAGGGCTTGGCAGTAGGGAAAATAATGTGGTTCAGGGACTGTGAGACAGACTAATTGTGTCCATGTGGGGAATCAAACCCATGTCTTCGGTGTAATGAGAGAATGTTTAACCACTAGGCTACCCCACTGCTCCTAACACTGTGTTGTGTCGGTTCACACAGTCCAGTGATGCTTGATTTCCCAGATCGTGACTCTTGGTTTGTAAGCTCCATACTCATGGCTGCCCACCAAAGTGATGAACGTTAAGGGCCTGGCATGTTGTGGAGTTTTTCACACGTCAGGCTGATGTGCTGTGCTATTACTGAAATAGTGTTCAGAATGGTGTTAAATTACCCAGTCATGTTGACTGATGCTTCTATAAGGTTGAATTAACATTTTAGTTTTAAAGTTATTACATGTTATCAATATCTGTACTCATACACAGGAGAGTAGGTCAATACCATGGATGATTCTCCAGACTGTGACTGAGTCGTAGTGACCTGCAGTAATTCAGAGTCGAATAGCTGATACAGCTGGGCATTGACTGAGATGTGTGAGACATAAACCTGTGGTGGATCAGAGTCAGAATAGCTGATACAGTTGGGCATCGACTGAGTTGTGTGAGACATGAACCTGTGGTGGTTCAGAGTCAGAATAGCTGAAACACCTGGGAATCAACTGAGTCAGGTGAGACATGAACCTATGGTGGATCAGGGATGGAATAGTTAGGGCCTCCTGGCTGACTCAACTGGGCATTTGAAGCATCAACTAGATCACAGAGGGTTCCTCAGAAATATGGGACTAAACCGTCATCATGATGATGCTCAAAAGTGTTGAATAACATAGAATCATCATTATCATCATCATCATCAGCAGCAGCAGCAGCAGCAGCTGTATCTCCATCCTTCAGTCATAGACGAAGAATGTTAATGAATAAGAATCTGAACAAACTCTATGGTTAGGGTCATGGTTAGGAAACCAACAAAAATTTGATTTATAATCTGAGACACACTACGTAAATGAGGGTAGCCTTGACTTTATCAGCCACTGGCAGACCAGTGTTGAATGGAGGCAGAAAGGCCTGAAGGGTTATTACCGTTTTATTGCAGGTTGGCGGAAGAGGAGCACTAGGAGAAGGATGTGTTCTGTTAAGTATCAATATTGCCCCTATAACACTATTACTTTTTCAATCATACTGGTCGGTCAATAAATCTTCCACTCAATGGAATCATTATGTCTCCAGCTTGTTACTGTTGTGGAGGAATCAGCCGGCCATTGTGCAAGAAGAAACCATTATTTGAATATACTACATACATTGAAACCATTTTTTTGTTTAATTTATACTTTAATACTTTTAGGAAATGAAACAAATTTCATGATTAACAGAAATTTTAAATTTTTCCTTATCCTGACTCATGCTCTTTTGCTTGTCTTCTTCTTCTTGCAAACATAGTGGAACACTTGTATCTCCCTAATTGAAGCTCCCTTCAATGTAAAATCACTAATTAGTACTCACCACGAGTTGCCTCCCTCTTCCATTTGTGCGGGAAAGGAGGCGCCACCCTCTGGCCTCATGCTTCACTCTCTCCTTCTTCGCCCAGTGAGCAGGATGTGAGAGCGCCTGTGTCTCCCTACACACTATATCCTTTGATTATTCTTAGTTAGTTACCTCTTATAGTCTTCGCTACCAACGCAGAGAGGGCACCGACTACATCTTCGCAGACCGTCACAGACAACCTGATGCGGCAGATCATGAAGATGATTGAGGACCGATACAGACTGGAGAGACAACCAGCCCAGAGCCTGAGCCTTCGCGAAGGCTCCAACGTAGACGACACCCCAGAGGGACCCCCCGTCAACGTAGCGGCCACTACAAAGCCACCTCCGCGAAGGAAGTCACAGACCACCTCGGCGAAGGACCCAGATGTACAGCCTTCGCGAAGGCCTTCGCGAAGGACTTCTAGATCGTCACCTACCTCGGACTCTGATGATCAACACTCACGAAGAGGCTCGAGAAGGAAGATCATCTCATCCCCGGACTCTGACTCGGACCCCCAGCCTTCGCGAAGGTCAAGTTGTCGCTCCCCAGGACCGGACTCAGATGAAGCTTCGCGAAGGTCTTCGCGAAGGGCACCAGTTACAGGCTCCAAGTCATCTTCGTCTAGAAGGTCATCGAGGGATTCCCCAAGAGCTTCGCAAAGCTATCAACGTTCACGACATAGATCTCCGCGAAGGTCACCATATAGACGCAGCTCATCAGGCCGTTCACCAAGACGATCTCCTCGCCGTTCTCCACGCCGATCACCTCGTCGTTCACCTCGCCGATCTCCTCACAGGTCACCACGTCGATCTCCTCGCAGGTCACCACACCGTTCGCCGCACAAGTCTTCACGGAAGTCCCCAGACAGGTCTCTGTTGACGTCACCCTGCACAGCGGTAGAAGCATACGGGTCACCATCGGAAGAGCATCAACCTCTTATCAGCGATCCCGTTATAGAAGATGATGGAGGCATCATTTTCTCCGATGCTGAAATACGCTATTGGATGGTTAACAACCTGGACCTATCTTCACCTTCCAAGAACGGTAATCCGGCCCACACTTACCTTATGAGGAAGGACGATGCAGAC